GAATAAATTTAATGAAGGAGATGAAAGACCTATACAATGAAAACCATAAAAGTTTATTGGAAATCTATGATGACATAAAGAAATGGAAAGATATCCCATGCACATGGATTGGAAGAATAAACATAGTTAAAATGTCCACACTACCTAAAGCAATCTACAGATTCAGTGCAATCCCAATCAGAATCTCAAGGACATTCTTCACAGAAATAGAATAAAGAATACTAAAATTCATATGGGGCAACAAAAGACCCTGAATAGCTAAAGCAATCCTGAGAAAAAAGAACAAAGCTGGAGGCATCACAATCCCTGACTTCAAAATATACTACAAAGCTGTAATAATTAATACAGCATGGTACTGGTACAGAAACAGACACATAGATCAATGGAACAGAACTGAAAGCCCAGAAATAAAACCACACATCTACGGACAGCTAATCTTCGACAAAGGAGCTAAGAACATACAATGGAGAAAGGAAAGTCTCTTCAATAAATGGTGCTTGGAAAACTGGACAGCCACATGCAAAAGAATGAAAGTAGACTATTTTCTTTCACCATACACAAAAATTAACTCAAAATGGATCAAAGACTTGAAGATAAGACCTGAAACTATAAAACTCCTAGAAGAAAACATAGGCAGTACACTCTTTGACATCCGTCATAGAGGGATCTTTTCGAATTCCATATCTGCTCAGGCAAGGGAAACAAAAGAATAAATAAACAAGTGGGACTTCATCAACCTAAAGAGCTTCTGCAAGGCAAATGAAACCAGAATCAAAATGAAAAGACAACCCACCAGCTAGGAGAAAATATTTGCAAATCATATATCCAACAAGGAGTTAATCTCCATAATATATAAATAACTCACACAACTGAACAACAAAAAAACAAACAACCCGATTAAAAAATGGGCAGAGGATATGAACAGACATTTTTCCAAGGAAGATATACAGAAGGCCAATAGGCACATGAAAAGATGTTCAACATCACCAATCATCGGGAAATGCAAATCAAAACTACACTAAGATATCACCTTACACCTGTTAGAATGGCTATAATCACCAAGACAAAAATAACAAATGTTGAAGAGGTTGTGGAGAACAAGGAACCCTAATTCACTGCTGGTGGGAATGCAAACTGGTGCAGCCTCTATGGAAAACAGACTGGAGATTCCTCAAAAAATTAAAAGTAGAAATACCTTATGATCCAGCTATCCCACTACTGGGTATTTATCCAAAGATCCTGAAATCAACAATCCAAAGAGGCTTATGCACCCCTATGTTCATTGCAGCATTATTTACCATAGCCAAGAAGTGCAAGCAACCCAAGTGTCCCTCAACTGATGATTGGCTAAAGATGTGGTATATATATACAACAGAATACTACTCAGCCATAAAAAAGACAAAATCGTCCCACTTGCAACAACATGGATGGACCTGGAGGGTATCATGTTAAGCAAAATGAACCAGACAGAGAAAGACATACACCACATGATTTCACTCATATGTGGAAGATAAACTAACACATGGACAGAGAGAACAGTTTGGTGGTTAACAGGGGCAAGGTGGGTGGGGGGTGGGCACAAGGGGTGAAGGGAGGCATTTATATGGTGACTGACAAACAATGTACAACTAAAATTTCACAATGTTACAAACTATTATGACGTCAATGAAAAAAAAAAAACAGTTTTACTGTATGAGCCAGCATTCATACTCCTATGTATTTACCTTATTGAGTTGAAAACTTATGTCCACACAAAAACTCGCACATGAATGCTTATTGCAGCTTTGTGCATAATTACCCGAAACTGAAAGCAACCAAGATGTCATTCTGTCTGTCAATGGGCCAAAACACACAAACAAACCTGTGGTACATACATATAATGGAATTCAGTGATAAAAGGAAATGAGCTGTCAAAGCACAAAAGTCATGGAGGATTCTGACATGCAAATTGCTAGGTGAAAGAAACCAGTCTGAAAGGCAACTGTATGCTTCCAATTATGTGGCATTCAGTAAAAGGCAAAACTGTAGATAAAGTAAGATCAGTGGTTGCCAGAGGGTTAGGGGAAGGTTAGAGGGATGAATGTGTAAAGCACAGGGCATCTTGATGTCTGTGAAACTATTCTCTGTGATACTGTTATGCATTTGTCAAAACCCACAGAACATACAACACAAAGAGTGAACCTTAATGTATGAAAATTAGAAGAACAATTTAGGAGGTTGAAGGATCCTAGAAAATAATGCAGACTGTGACAAGAGAATCTGACTATATTATGAACATGTGAAACAGGCTCACATAGGGGGTGGGGAAAGGTGCTGACCTGAGGAACTTTGGAAATGAATGCAGTCTTTAAGACTAAAGGCAAAATGAACTGCAGATATGCACTTTAATTGATAAAGTTGTTCCCACGGGGGTACAGGTTAACAATGCTGATACTGCTTTACACGTACAGTCGTGCACCACATAATGACGTTTTGGTCAATGATGGACCACATATAGGATGGTGGCCTCATAAGATTAGTACCATATAGCCTAGGTGTGTAGTAGGCTATACAATCTAGGTTTGTGTAAGTACACTCTGTGATGTTTACACAATGGTGAAATTGCCTAACGACGCATTTTTCAGAACATATCCCATAGTTAAGCAACGCATGACCATATAATGGAATTGAACTCTTAAGTAAACGGCTGATGGATGGTAGGAGCCAGGTTTCTCACTCTTGGAGTAGGAATTTACAGGTAAGCGAGAGAAGGAGACTAGAATGATCTGTGTGGTAGTGCATTAGAGTTGGAGACATCAATAAGAACTCATGTTTAATTTAAGATAGATACAGATGGTATATACCCAGGTTAGTATATACACATATATTTCTTTGTTTTGTCAGCTGGGAAGTCCTAAAAGCAGCAACAGTTGTGGCCCAGAGGACCCAGTAGCAATGAGCACACCTACTGCCCTAATAAAGTGAACCAAGGCTCCTTGGAGAAATGGCTGAGTCTAGGACTGGGGTAGGAAATATACAGCATGAGCATGGAGCATCTTGTAGCGCCAGAAAGTAAGGAAATGCTCAAAAAAGCCACACAATAGGGGCACATCAAAGGGACACAGGAACCAACTGAAAGAGCTCCCAGTGGCCAAAGATGGAACAATTTGAACACCACCAAATATATATATATATGTGTGTGTGTGTGTATACACACATATACATATATATATACATATACACATATATATACACATATACATATATATACACACATATATATATTTCATTATAACTCAAAGTATAAAAGTATATGAGTACATAGATTGTTGAATGAGTTAATAAATGGGGAAGGAGAGCCAAATCTCCTGTGCTGAAGAATTCCAAATAAATTAGATACTCCCTTCTACAGGAGAGAGAGCATAACTCCCCACTCCTTAAGTGTAGGCTATGCATAGGGACTTACTTTCAAAGAGTACAGTATGGGGGACCGGCCCTGTGGCATAGCGGTTAAGTGCGGGCGCTCCGCTGTTGGCAGCAGGGGGTTCGGATCCTGAGTGCACACCGACGCACCGCTTGGCAAGCCATGCTGTGGCGGCATCCCATATAAAGTGGAGGAAGATGGGCACAGATGTTAGCCCAGGGCCAGTCTTCCTCAGCACAAAGAGGAGGATTGGCGACAGATGTTAGCTCAGCGCTGATCTTCCTCACACACACAAAAAAAAGAGTGCAGCATGGACAGTGGGGAAAAAGAGTAGCTTTATAGTGGAGAATCCTGATAAACACTACTTTAGCCAAGTGATCAAAGTAAACATCAACAGTCAGGCATAAATCATGTTGATAGTATGTACCTTTAACATGATGTGATAAAAATAGCATTCTACTTCTGTGATCTTCCTCCCCCAAACCCATAACCCCGTGAGAAAGACCCATAATCATGATAAAAACAGCTAACAATTTCCAGGAAAGGGAAATCCTACAATATACCCAACCAGTTCTCCTCAAAACTGTCAAGATCATTAAAAAAAAAAGCAGTCTGAGAAACTGTCACAGCCAAGAGAAGCCTAAGGGGAGATAACTAATACACTGTGGTATCCTGGATAGGGTCCTGGAACAGAAAAATGACACTAGATAAATACTAAGGCAATCTGAATAAACTGTGGACTTTAGTTAATAATAATGTATCAATATTGGTTCATTAATTGTAACAAATGTACCATACTAATGTGAGGTATTAACTGGGGAGACTTGGGGGGGAGGGCGGGGAGGTAGGGGATAATATGGGAACTCTATTATAATCTGTTGACGTTCTCTGTAAATCTGAAACTGTTCTAAAAAATAAAGTCTACTAATTACAGAAAAAAGAGACTTCCAAGCTCTTAAACATACACACACATTGAGTCCTCACATAACCCAGCCACTCCAGTGTTTACTTTTGAAATATTTTCTCTTTAATTCTCAAAACAACATGGTGAAGTGGGAACTGTTATTGTATCTATGGGGGAGTTGAGGCTCAAAGAAATGAAGTGATTTCTCCACGGTCATGCACATAGCAAGGCTTGGTTTCTAGAGGCTGGAGTGAAACCTGGGAATCTGGGTGCAGAGCTGGGCCTTCAGACACTTTGACACAGCATATGAAGCCCTCAGCAGGTGCCCACACACAGTGAGGACCAGTGAGGCTCAGCTGCTGCTGCTGTCGTTGGAATTTGTATCATTACATCCCCATCCTCTGACACACCAGAGCACTTACTGTCTGTACCTTATAGTCCCGTAGGCTTGTCCTAACCTTATGACATTCAATGGTTTACTCCATTGATGGCTTTTCTCTCTGGCACAATCGCATTATGTCCAAAGGCAGCATCTGCCTCCACATTGAGCACAACGCAGAGCTCGGCTCATTAGATGTGCTCGGTGGTTCTGGCCTTGGGTCTCTCTGCACCGTCAGCAGTGACCGAGCAACAGGCTCTAATCTCATCCAGCAGCCCCAAAGCCAATGTGGATGTCTCCTTTCGACTTTCCAGGTATCGATGACCTTCAAGTACTTCATCGTGACCTTCACTTGGGAGGAGTGGGGGCAACTGGACGAAGCCCAGAGGACCCTATATCGGGAGGTAATGCTGGAGACCTGCGGGATCCTGATCTCACTGGGTAAGGCTCACCTCCCTCCCATGTGGGGAACCCACAGCCACCTTCTTCATTTCACCCTCTCACTCTAGGCCTGACTAGTAGACAAGGCCTCTAGAGCCCACCCTTTCTCTTACCCATAACTCCTGCAGTGTTCCTGTCTCCCCTCCTCTTTCCTGGTCTTCCTGTATCCAGCCAGGTACTGTGAGGGGCCAGAAAATAGGAAGTGAAATCAAGAACTACACCAAGAATTAAACCAAGCCCACATTATCACTGCAATACTTAGCACAGGCTGGCCTCGGCCTGAGGTCCTTATTCCAGATTGTCACCAGGGGGAAACTGAATGGTCAAGCTTTGTTGGGTTAGGTGTCCCCATAACCCAGTGAGCAGGGGCTGGAGATGAGGGGCCATTCTCCAAAAAGCCCATGAATCAAGCAGGCCACCAGCAACATTGAAACTACACAATCTCAGTTGAAAGGCGCCTTTTTTTCCCTGATGTCTACATGATCATCCCTTGCTTCCTAAGGCCTGGGCCACGGTTCTCTGCTGGTACAGGAGATGATTTAGAGGGTGTGCAGACATACCATCAACTGGCATTGATGGACACCCTGAGAAAGCCGTTCCTTTTTCCTTTCTCTTTCCTGCCTTCTAATTGTTGTCAGCAGAGTCTTACTTGAGTGATAAATCTTTGATGCCTCCCCTGACTTTGGCTAATTTTCCTTTTCAACAGAAGGAGCCGCCCTGGACTCATAGTGCAGGGCAGGCCACATAAGCTTGCTGGAACGTCTAGCATTATTTTGATTCCGTTGTTGTTGTGTTTTGATGGTAACTTATTTGTGAAAAGTGAAACTAGTTTTATCATTTACAGGTGATGCAAGATTCCCTTTCTGAAGAAATCAATTTAAGTAAACAAAATGTGGATCAACTTTAAAAAAGCAATTTATAATGATGGTGACAGCTAATGTCCCCTGAGCACTCACCCCACGTCGGACCCTGTTCCTGACATGACTCTCACTGCTCCACTAATTTAATTTTCACAGAATCCCTTGTAAAGTGCAGATTTTTCTCCAGAACTGCTCACTCTGAACCCAATTGTCTCCCCTTTAGGAAGCTGCAGCCCAAAGACAATGACATTTTTGAGCATGAGTTACTATTTTTTTGAGTTATTATTTTAATATTCTTGTTTATTTGAGGTATAACTTATTTTCAGTAAAAAGTACAGTCCTCAGTGTCCAGCTCAGTGCACAGTTTTCAGTGTACCCATTCATGTGACTTCCACCTGGATCAAGCTGTGGAGCGTTCTCCCCACATGGCAGGTTCTCCCCACTGTCTCCCGTTCAGTTCCCCCAAAAAGCACCCGTCTGCTGACTTCCATCTCCAGAGATTGGATTGGCCCATTCTCGAACGTTCCATGAATGGAATCACACAGTGTGCACTGCTTTGTGTCTGGAGCCTTTTGCTCAGCATCCTGTTTGTGAGATTCATAGCCCAAGGAGTAATTTCTGTCCTGAGACTGTTGATGCAGATGTCCCCTGATTCACACAGGTTCCTTTTGCCTCCCTTTGCACCCTCACATGTCATAGCTTCAGAATAACAGAACACCCAACACCTCCCAAATAAAACAGAAAAAGGTCAGACGGGCATCCGTTGATGTAGACTAGCACCTGGGTTTTCAGTCCTCCCTGGGATCCTGAATACCTTGGAGAGCTTTTAAAGTGTTCATGACCAGGCCTCCTCCTCAGAGATTTGGTTCCATTTGGTTCGTGATCAAAACCAGGCATCCCCAGGTGGTTCTGATGCCCAGGGAGACTGAGATGCTGACTTAGGTTAATTAGAAAATAGCTTCTGGAATGAGGGTGTCATCTTCCGGGGGTTGTGTGTAAAGGGAGGGGTGCCCCTGAACAGTGTTGGATTCTGTAGGATGGAGATCAAGGGGAATAGGTGTTAGGTGGACAGCCATCACGACCCTCTACAGACATTTGGTCCAAGCATGGTGTTTGTGCTCTTGGTTAAGTCACAGTTCAGCATTTGCTTTGCGTAGGTGGGAGCAGCCTCAGTCAGACGTTTCATCTTTGTCTTGCCTACCATATTGAATGGAGAGGTTCATTTTTGCCTTTACTCAAACACTACTGTCCTATTTCTCCATGATCAGGGTATCCTGTTCCCACACCAGAACTGATCCACATGCTGGAGAATTAGCAAGATCTATAGATGGTGAAGAGAGGCCTCTCCTAAAGTTCCTGTCCAGGTGGGTGGCCAAGAACCAGGTGGGAGGGGGTCACTGCAGACCAGTAGAGGACCGCTGGGAAGCCTCTTGTTGTGACCTCTTTGGGGGCCTGGGCACCCGTGGAGCCCTTTGACCTGTCCTCTCACCCAGTTACACTCTTCCCTGCTACTCGGGGAGGAGTAGGTTGTATTAGGTAAATTGCAGGCTGTTGGCTCCATATCTTTGGGCTTAACACCTGGCTTTGTCCCTCTCTAGCCTTGTGACCCTGGGGATGTTGCACGATCTCATCAGTGTTAAAAACAGCCTAAGTTAACGCAAGCTACTGTAGCAGAGAAACTTGATAACCTCAGCAGCTCAGCACAGGGAGTTTTTTGGTTTTTTCTTTTCTTCATTCATGCCAAGATCCACGTAGGTCAGTGGAGAGCTCTGTACCACACAGGTATTCAGGGAGCAAGGTACCTTCTATTGTCAACATGTGGCTTAATTTAAGCCTATCCTGGCATCATGTGTTGAGGAGAGGGGAAATGGGAAGAATGAAAGAAGTCATACCCACCTGCATACGTACATTGCCGTTGCCACTCCATTGACATTCCATTGCAAAAACGGCATTTGGCCACACTTGGATTCTCAGGGCTAGGAATTGTTTTAGCTGTGTGTCCAAGGAGAAGAACAAGTGAGTTTGGTAAACATCTACTCAGCCTACATTTAGAAAATGATAGTAATAATAGTTTTTATCTCATTGGATTGAGGATGTAATAGAAAATATATAGAACTGCATGGGATAGTGCCTAACACATAGTCAGTGACTCAAATAAAGTTAGATAGGGCCGGCCCCGTGGCTTAGCGGTTAAGTGCATGCACTCCACTACTGGCGGCCCGGGTTCGGATCCCAGGCGCACACCAATGCACCGCTTCTCCGGCCATGCTGAGGCTGCGTCCCACATACAGCAACTAGAAGGATGTGCAACTATGACATACAACTATCTACTGGGGCTTTGGGGGTGGGGGGGAAGGAGGAGGATTGGCAATAGATGTTAGCTCAGAGCCGGTCCTCCTCAGCAAAAAAGAGGAAGATTAGCATGGATGTTAGCCCACAGGGCTGATCTTCCTCAAAAAAAAAAAAGTTAGATTTTCGTATTGGTATTATGTTTGAAATAACATTAATCATAATGAATAATGAGTAATAGTAATATCATACATTTCCTTCAGGGCTCAGACGAAAAGAGCCTTTCTTCCTCTACCATTAATATCTCCAGCTATACTCTGCACCCTACCATTTCCCACCTTCTTTATCCGTTTATCTGTCCGTATATGCTTACATTGTTCTTTTTGTCAGTCAGACACTCAGAAGCAGTCCTTTCCCCATGTCTTCCTGCCCCTCTCGTCCTGTAAAATTTTTAGGTGTCTTTAGCCTTGTCTGTCCCACATCTGGGCTGCTGAGGGCACCTGAAGCCATCGCTGTGTGGATTGGCACCACCAGAGAGTGATGGTCTCTTTTTCTCTGGTACTCCCTCAGGCTGCACAGTCAGCTACATGTTTCTGGCCAACCCCTCCTCAGTTCCTTGGAGTTTGTTCCAAAATTTCACCCCTCTCTTCAATCCCACGTCTCCATGTGAATGTCTCAAAGGCACTTCAGATTCATCATGCCTAAGAAAGAACTCATGATCTTGCCCACTCCTCCCACGTCCCCCTGTGTAGTGAATGGCCATCCAGGAAGTTGAGAAGGCAGGAAACAATCAGCTCAGACAACAGCTCAACACCTCTATCACCATCAAACCCAACATCTAGCCATCCCGAGACCCGTCCTTTCTACATCATACACATCTCCTGAATCCATCAGCTCAACCAGCTACACCGCTAACACCCTGCCATAACAGATGCTATCGTTATCTCTCACCTACATGATGCTAACAGACGTCTACCTGATCTCTGCATGTCTGCTCTGTGTCTCTGGTCACCTCTGTCTGCTGCGTCAGCTCCCCCAGCCACTCAGACGTTATTCCAAATCTTCACCACGCTCACAGTTTCTCATGTCTCAGTATATGATACATCAAGTTCATATTGAAAATATAATTGCTTCCTTCTTCAACATCAGTGGATTCACCCTGGAGTGAAGCGCTACGAATGAGATTAGTACGGGAAACCTTTCTCAAGAGGGCAAGCCTCACTCAACACTACAGCATCCACCTTGAGGAGAAGCCATATGAGTGCATTGAGCGAGGAGGACTTCAAGCGCAGGTCACACCTCACAGGGAACCAGCATATTCACACTCGACAGAAAGCTTGTGAGTGCAGTGAATGTGGAAATAACTTCACAGACCACTCTGATTGTATCCAGTGGGGAAAAACTCTTGGAGTGCAAAGAATGAGGAAAGCCTTTTGTGACAGCTCTTCCTTAACTGGACACATATGGGTTCATGCTGGAAAGAAGTCCTACAGATGCAATGAACATGGAAAGACTTTCACCCGCCACTCTGATTTTGTCTTGTATCGTAGGACCCACACTAGAGGAAAGCCCTTTGAGTGTAAAGAATGTGGGAAAGCCTTTCATGACAAGCTATGCTTAATTTGACCCACAAGGTATCACACTGAGGAGAAGCCCCATGAGTGCAGTGAACGTGGAAAAGTTGTAAGCCTTAGCTCATCCCTCACTAGCCATCGAGGCATTCATAGTGGAGAGAAACCCTGTGGGTGTGGGAAATGTGGGTAGGTCTTCCACACATGGGCAACCTCAGTCTACTTCAGAGAACTCATACTGGGGAAAGACCTTTTGAATATAACCCCTGTGGCAAATTGCTTGGCCAGAGGAATGATCTTACCGGACATCTGAGAATCCATACTCATCCTGAAGAGAAATCCCATCCTCCCTTAGGTACACCATCTCTGCTGTAGCCATGGCTTTACCTGCAGCTGGACCGCTGTATCACAGAGATTGGAGGCCCTCTCTCTCCCAGATCACACCTGGGTTCTCAGTGGGTGTCCTCCAGTCCACACCAGGGAGTTCTGTGCTGTAACGTGGCCCACACAGAACCCTGAGCCTCAGTTTATTCCAAAGCAGGAATGTGGTGCAGTCCAGTGGATAAAGGACATCCTGGGGTTGTTCAGTTCTCTCATGCAGTCTTCCCTTCTGTGTTCAAAGTGGTCTGGTATGCTCTGCCTGGTATGAGGAGCAAGAGTCACGTGTCATCCTTCTTCCACATTACCACACTGTCGCCAACACATCATGGGTAGTGAAGACACATCAGTGACTAAGACATGGGCTTTTGAGCAAGAAGACAACTCACCGTATAGTGTGTGAAACACACATGAAAACAGCTGCAGTAAAACAACTCTGCTGCTATGATAGAAACCTGTCCAGGGCATATTGGACAGGTTTATATCCTGTCCAAGGGTTATATCCCCATATACAGGACAGACATATACCCTGTCCAAGGGTATAAAGAACAGCAGGGTCAAAACTTGACCCTTGGAGGAAAGACGTAAAGGAGGAAGAGTAGTCTAGTTGCTGGTTGCCAAGAGCTTGGACACTGAGTATAGATTAGGATTCCAGCACCTCTGAGCTATTTCCATCACCAGGCTTGGAGACCTCTCATCTCCCCAGGCCTCAGCATTCTTGTCTGTAAAGGTGGAAAGATGGTCATTAAATTGTAAAGCACAGTAAGGAGAGCAGACACTAAAGAATAGGTTTCACACAAACTCCTGAAGGATGTAGGCACTGAAGCTAGGTTCAATGGTAGGGAATAGTATTCCTGCAGAAGTGAATAGCATGTGCCAAGATCTTGAGACTGGCAGGAGCGGGGCCAGTGCAGCTAGTGGAGAAGAGTGACAGGCAGTGAAAACGAGGGGTGTGCAGAGGTTGATGCACAGGTTTCTGTAGGCCACTGTCAGAAATTTAGATCTTATCCTAATTGCTCTGGGAGGCTTTGGGAGGGTTTTAGTAGGACAACGACATGATCTGATTTATATGAAAATCTCCCTCTAACGGATGTGTGGGGAACGTACCCAGTAGAGCCAAGAACTGATGTGGAGGACGTGGTAGAGGCCGCTGTATATGCCAGGAGGGGGTTCATGGTGGACTGGCCCAGTGTGAATATGCTGGTTGTCTGTGAGGTGTGACCTGTGCTTGAAGGCCTCCTCACTCAGTGCACTCATATGGCTTCTCCCCAAGGTGGACGCTGCAGTGTTGAATGAGTCTCGCTCTCTCGAGAAAGGTTTCCCCATACTAATCTCATTCACAGGGCTTCACTCCAGGGTGAATCCACTGATGTTAAAGAAGAAAGTGGATTGTATTTTCAAGCTGTTGGGAAGAGTATGACTGGGGACATGTTAGAAAGAGGGCTAGGGCCGGCCCCATGGCTTAGCGGTTAAGTGCACGCGCTCCGCTGCTGGCGGCCCGGGTTCGGATCCCGGGCGCGCACCGATGCACCACTTCTCCGGCCATGCTGAGGCCGCGTCCCACATACAGCAATTAGAAGGATGTGCAGCTATGACATACAACTATCTACTGGGGCTTTGGGGGGAAAATAAATAAATAAATAAAATCTTTAAAAAAAAAAAAAAGAAAGCTAACAGGATGTATGGATGATTGGGATAATGGGGTGAGCCCCAGGGAATGACTTTTCCCATCTCAGTATTTAAAAAGTAGTAGATAATAACAACAACAAACAAACACATAGAGACAGAGATTGGATTGGTGTTTACCAGAGGGGAGCTGAGGAGTGGGGAGGGCGAGGGGGATAATTAGGCACATGTGTGTGGTCATGAATTGTAATTAGTATTTGCGTGGTGAACACGAGAACATGATGTAGTACATGTAGAAATACAAGTATAATGATGTACACCTGAAATTTATACAATGTTATAAACCAATGTTACCACAATAAACAAACAAAAAAGAATAAAAATTAAAAATTAAAGAAAAAAAAGATAGGCCACTACATCCATGAGACTGTGGGGCATAACCTATTCTGGTGTTTAGATTTCTCGGTCAGTACCCAGTAACATGTTGAGTGACTGAGTGAAGCCAAAGGCTGCCATTTCTGGGACACAGAAAAGGCAGGATTCTTCCCTGTCCCCACGAGGGTTTCATTTTTCCGTGGCCATGTTACTCACACAGAGGGGTCCTGGCCCTGCGGGTGGTGGCGGGAACTGCAGCTCTATGGGGCACCATTCCCAGCTACTTACCAGGCATTACTGTGGGCAACTGAGGGATCTCTGGGCCTCGGTTTCCTCCTCTGTAACCTGGGCAGACTCACCTCTCAGGCTGCTGTGCAGGTTAAAGGGTACAGTGTCTGTACACGGTGCTCGATCCATGTGCTTAAAAAACGTCAGCTCCTTTTGTAATTATCGCATACAGTTTTCCTCCTTTGTACTGTTCTTTCCCCACCCGCCTCTCCCTCACCAGAGGATGCTGCTGACCTAGGAATTTTCCGAGTAAAAACATATATACTACAGTTTCCTCATGACATCTCAGCTGATTTTAGGCCCTAAATGCCTGGGTCACGACCCTGATGACCTTCAACCTAAGATCTTGACACCCCACCAGCCAAACCTAGGACATCCCTGCCCACCCCCGGCTCCTTTTGCACTGGCGGTGGCTGAGGATGCCGTGGAATTAGTTTCTGCTTTGAATGAAAATTTTAATTCACTGATTAAAAAAATGCCTTGTAAAGGGTATTTTGAGCCAATAAAGATCACTGATAATTTGAACTTTTCTCTCATACTCATTTAATGTAATAGTTGATACATCTGGATTTAAATATACCCTTTTATTTTGTGGGGGGGTTTTGCCTCACTTGTTCTTTAGGGTGGTAATTTTTTTTTAAGTTTCTGTCAGTGACTTATTTACAATCCATATTTTCTTTCTTCTAGTTGGCAACTTTATACTCTGATTCTTAGTATTGCTTAAGCTAAAAATTACACTTATTTAACATAATAGAATACAGAGTTTTAAATACTTTACCTTTCTCCTGGACAATATTAAGAGACTTAGAACATTAATCAATTTGTCCCATCTCAATATATGCACACATATATATATATATAATTGAGGCTATACATGGTAATTCCATCATTCTAACTTAACAATGGAATATTATTCATGTTTTATACAGATAATGAGCTTCTTTTTTAATCCACAGATGCACCTCTCTCTCAGATCCTCATTTCTCCTGTCGTTGAAGATCTTTCAACTGGGATCACTTCCATCATCCTTAAATAGAATATCCTTAGATAAGAATTTCGTTTTATGCAGGTTGATTTTACATTAAACTTCTCATTTTTGACCTGAAGTAGTTTTATTTCGTACTCTTTTTCCAAAGCCACTATTGCTGTGTATAAAACTTAGGTTAGCAGTTATTTCTTCTGTGGTTTGAACAGGTCCCTTCACTGTGTCCCTGAACCACAGCTACATGTTGGGAATGAGTGGTGACAAACAACTTATCATTTTGTTCACAGCCTCCAGGTCTGAGGTTAGGTTAGGAACAGAGATTCTGACACTGAGATAGAGGCAATGATTGGATTGGACTTGGGATTGTCACATAGAGGGTGAGAGTGTTGAGTGTGTAGAAGTAATGTAATGGGTTTCTGGTCACCAAATTGATGGGTTGTGCTAGAAACTGGCTAGGTGGTCAGCAATTTCTTTTTGTCTTCCTGCACACCCAGCTTCCCTCACACCCAGTTTGTGCTCACTTGTGTACTACATGTTCAGGTGATGGGCTGATTAAGTCTTGATGAGGACAGTACCTGGTGACTCAGAGTTAGTGGACATCAGGTTGTGCCATCTCATGGTCAGACATTTGAACCTGCATGTCACTGCCCTGAGGTCCAGTGGGGAGGCAGGGGGGAGGTGAAGTTCCTGAGAATTAGAGATGAACAGTGACTTGTCATCTGCTGTCACATACTTCAAATCATGTCAACTTCACTTCCACTTTGTCCTAAGGACAGTTAGATGTGATGTTCTCAAGTATTGAATCACGTGGCCTATAAGAATTCGTCCATTAGGCAATAGGCTTACCTATGGTTAGGAAACCCCCGTGTGATTTAGTTTTAAAAAGGAGCCAAATAATTCAAGTTAGGTTCTGGCCATGTTGAGTCTGATGTTCCAGAGACCCCTGAGTGGAATTACAAATGGGCAGAACTAGATGCACAGTTCTGGTGTGCTGGGAGGCATTCAGGTTATAAGCATCCAGAATGTGGCATCTGGTGTGTGGATGGTGTGGACTTGTGGGTTGGATTTAGGAGGAAGAATCTTCTGGTCATGTTGGCAATGCCACTGCAAGGAAAGAAAGGGGAGGGTGGGCCCTGGGGACTGGTTATCTTGCCTGGGCAAATGGGTGAGGATGGTAGGTCACAAGGACAGAGGGAAGATAGGGGCCATGAGGGGTGCATGTGGGGAAGATCAGGGTCTGACAGGTGGCCAGATTTTCCAAGGGGGAGTGGATTTGAGATGGATGCTGAGGCTTAGCAGGAATGGAGGTAAACTTAACAGTATGGCCTGGGCTGGTGCTTGTTCACCCTTCTATGGACATACTGGGCCTTTGACCAGGTGACCGTTGGTGATGAAGGGACAGAATGTGACACAAACGAGAAAGAGGATTGAGGGTATCAGACATCTGTGTGTGGTTATGACTGAGGTTGAAGCCAGGAAAAGGGCCCAGTGGGAGGCCTTCAAAGCAGGATCGGGTGCTGCCCTTGCCAGTGGGAGCCATCAAAGGTGTTTTGGGTTCAATTATGTCCCCCTAAAAGATATGTTCAAGTGCTAACACTCCGAACCTCATGATGTGACCTTAAATGGAAATAGGGTCTTTACAAAGGTAATCAAGTTAAAATGAGATCATTAGAGTGGGCCTTAATGCAGTATGACTGATGTCCTTATAAAAAGGGGAAATGTGGACACAGACACACACAGAGGGAGATGATGTGAAGACACTCATGTGACTGGAGAGGGAGATGATGTGAAGACACTCATGTGACTGGAGTGATGCATCTGCAAGCCAAGGAGCATCAGGGATTGCCAGCAAACGCAGAAGCCACATGAGGGAAGGAAGGATTCTCCCCTAGAGCCATCAGAGAGCACAGTCCTGCCAACACCTTGATTTCAGACTTCTAGCCTCCAAAACTTTGAGATAGTAAATTCCTGTTGTTTTTAAGCCACCCAGTTTGTGGCTCTAGGAAACTAATACAGAAAGTCGGGAAAGGTGAGATCTGGTTGTATTTGCCAGACACTCTGAATGCTGTGTGCAGAGTGACTTGTGGGGAGTCTGTGGACATGGCTCTGGTGTGGCCAGGGTCGGGTAGCAGCGGTGATGGGGTTCGTGGGTGGGGTCTAGAGTTGTGAGGGAAGCACAGTCTAAAGAGTGATATGGGGGCCGGCCCCGTGGCTTAGCGGTTAAGTGCATGCACTCCGCTACTGGTGGCCCCGGTTCAGATCCTAGGCGCGCGCTGACGCACCGCTTGTCTGGCCATGCTGAGGCGGCGTCCCACATACAGCAACTAGAAGGATGTGCAACTACAACATACAACTATCTACTGGGGGGTTGGGGAGAAAAGGGGGAAAAAAAAAGGAGGAAGATTGACAATAGATGTTAGCTCAGGGCCTGTCTTCCTCAGCAAAAAGAGGAAGATTGGCATGGATGTTAGCTGATCTTCCTCAAACAAAAAGAAAAAAGAAAAAGAAAAAGTGATATGCATGTGGGAAGGGGGTGGGAACTGTTGGCTCCAGGGCCCTGGTATTGGGGCTTAAGGAAGAAGACTGAGCCCACATTTGTTTGTATCTGGGAGGTATGATCTTGGTGACACCAGGAGATGAGGTTGGGCCCTGTGTATTAATCATGTCTTTTTATTTTCTGTATTTATGATGCTTCAACATCTTGGGGCCTTGCTGATCCTGGAGAGACTGCCCCTCCCAGGGTGAGCTAATTCCTAGAGGTAGTCAATAGCTTACTGTGAGCAAGTCTTTTATATGCAAACCAACCAGTCTGAGTCCATACCCCACCCATCACCTTTTATCAGGCTCCTTCAGTCAGACACTATCCCCTTGCCCTAAATCATCCCAGGGCCAGGTACTGGACAATGAGGGACCACCCCCATAGCCCAGGGCTTGCCGAAATTATTCCATCTATCCAGTCCTAAGCCTGCTCAGCCTGCCTACCCTGTTTTGCCCATTCCTGTCTCTGGCCCCTTCTTTCCCCTCACTCCTGCCTCCTGACCCACCCTGGTAATTCCCCAGTGGCCCTGCATGGCTTGTCATGCCCCGTCCTCTTGGGAACTGTAAATAATAACCTCTTCTTTCAAAGGCAGTTGTCTCTGTGTCTGTCATCTTACCATACCTGATTAAAACAAATCCCAGGAACATTTTAAAATACCCCACATACCAGGCCTGAGCTGAGTTGGTGTCTCTCTGCCTGCCTGTCTGTTATTGCTGTGGGTTGACACAGTGGCCAACGGATATGAGTTGAGAGGGAGCCCCAATGGCACCAGTGTCTGGTATCGCCTCTGAATTAGGAAGTTGGGGAAGAGGGCGAGCATGGGATGGATGTATGGGAGGATGGACTGGGGCCCTGTGGAGAGAAACTGAACACGGAATCAACTGTCTCCCTCATGGCGGGGCCATGTGAGCTTTGAGGATATCGCCATTTAATTTTCCCTGGATGCATTGGGGGAGTCTTGATGAGGCTCAGAGAATCCTGTACTGTGAAGTCATGCTGGACGACTTTGCACTTACAGCCTCACTGGGTAAAGCCTTCACATCTACCCCAGTGACCTGAGCTGGTTTCTCCCTGTCCGTCTTCCCCAGAGGCAGCTCTGTCCTTCCCACGGCAGAGCATGGGTGCTTCTTCCTTCCCCACTTTCCTGGCATGTAAGCTGTGGGTTCCAGGGCCGAACTGTAGGCACTACTCCGAGCAGTGCATTCCCCATAAGCCCCAATAACTGCACCCTGAAGCCTTGCAGGAAAGGGGCCGAGAGTCAGGAGTGTGGATGTCAGCCCCGTGGATCCCATCTGGCTTGGCCACTCCTTGCTCTGAGGCTCATCCAGTTGCAGAAGGGTCCTGTGATTCAGCTTCTGTCCCCCTTTTTAGCTGACATTTCCTGGGGTCTGGCTGTGTCAGGAATTACAGGCCCTGACATGGTCACTACTTGGCTGGGACCACTGGATTGTTTCCATAAGACATTCCTCGTAGGTTTTCTCCTTTGTTTGTTGTATTTTGTTTCATTTGAGTTTTCTTTCCTGTAATCTGTGGTGGAGTGGTTCACTGGGCAATATCTTTCCCTTAGGACTTGCATCTTCTAGGTCCCCAACTGCAGATAGGGGAAGAGCCTTGTGTGCCTGAACAGGCAGGCATTACCAAAACCACGGCAAGAGGTGCTCAGAGAGGGTCTAGCCTTGCTAAATGGGAGCTGGAGGAGGGCATGACATCAGGACTAGGTTCAGATTATACCAGAAACCTGTCCCCTGTTCACCATTGTTTGGGTTCCAAGGCTAAGGCCATACCTCCTCCACATCATCCCTTCCCCATTCTTGAAACTGTACCACTTGTCATTTCGACTCTGACATTGGGTCCCTGGCTGTCCAACCCCTCTCTGGTCTCCATGTCTCACCCTCTCCACTGCTCACTCTGCAGTGCTCTCCAACATTGGCCTACAATTAATGTGTTGTGAAGTGTGCACATTTATTTTTTATTTTTTTATTGAGGTCTAATTGACATATAACATTATACTAGTTTCAGGTGTACAACGTGATTCGATTTGTATGTATTGTGAAATGATCGCTACAATAAGTCTAGTTAACATCCATCACTATAAATACACATATATATATATAGCTAAAAAAATTTTTTCTTGTGATGAAAACTTTTAAGATCTACTCGCTTAGCAGCTTTGAAATATATATTACAGTATTGTTAACTATAGTTGCCATGCTGTACATTACATCCCCATGACTTATTTATGTTATAACTGGAAGTTTGTACCATTTGACCCTCTTCACCCATTTCCTCCACCCCCTGCCTCTGGTAAGCACCAGTCTGTTCTCGGTATCTATGAGCTTGGTTTTTTGTTTTTTGGTTTTTTTCAGATTCCTCGTATAAGTGAGATCATAAGGTATTTATCTTTCTCTGATTTATTCCACTTAACATAATTCCCTCAAAGTCCATCCACGTTGTTGCAAATAGCAAGATTTCATTCTTTTTTATGGCTGAATAATATTCTATTATATATATATACCACATCTTCTTTATCCATTCATCAC